ATACGCATTTTTTCCGGGGTGTCGCACCCGGCCACCGAGGACGATACACCCAGCAGTATCCTCTTCCCAGGGGTTATAATTTTTTAGTGTGTATTTTTTTTGAAAGAGAAAAGGGGGTGTGACAGCGTCCAATCGCCTCATGAGTTGGCCGTGAAACATGGGGACCGAATCGGTCATCATTGGTTGTAGACAAAGGGGTCAAGTCAAGTTGATAAGTTGATACTTGCCGAATGAACGAAAGAACGAAAGCCAGGGCAAGAGTGCAAGGTAGTTTAACGACTTAAATTTGTCCTGGAATACCCCTACAGAGATAGTCTGTTGACTATGTAAGAACTTGAGGCATCGACTGGTACCGACGCAACCTCAAAACTGGCATCGCCATACTACAAACACCCCTGGGGTATGAGAATCTGTCCACACAGGTAGGGGCTTGCCCGTACATGAATGTGCCCGTACATGAATGTGCCTGTACACGAATGTGCCCGTACATGAATGTGCCTGTACACGAATGTGCCTGTACACGAATGTGCCCGTACATGAATGTGCCTGTACACGAATGTGCCCGTACATGAATGTGCCTGTACATGAATGGTACAACTGACCCCAGCAGCCCGGCCAACACAATCCCTGTTACCCGATTTCTCTTCCCCCACATCGCCGTGAGTGCTCAGGATGAACATTGAGAAGGACATACCTACATGTATAGTACTACCTTTTTTACCCCTGTAGATACCACCGCTCCCTTTGATTCCGAAGGTAGGTGAGGGTGCCTTGCTTGTTCGGCTTGCCAAGGGATTTAGGGCCGTGGTGACCGCGAACCACTTGAGGGCTTGCCTCCTGTAGGCACTTCTGGCTCAGGCTTCCGTCCTCCTCAATGTTTTATTTTAAAGATGGCTCTATCCCCCGCGGAAAGATATCACCCATTCGACGTTCTTCACCTTCTTTTCCATATCCAACCTAATATACTAGCCTTGTGTACACGATTACCGCTTCGCATTCTCATCTCAAATTTTCGCCAATCCTTTGTTCTCGCACGGGTTCAGACGCCGAATCGAAGAACACAGTTTGCCTTCTCTGGCCTTGCGTTTGCTGCATCTTGTTCAAAGGGAGAACTGATACCATGGCGCCGCCTCTGGGCAGTGCCTCAAGGTCAGTCATCTTCCCTGACATTGTCCTCTCCTTTCCTTTTATTTCCCCTCATTTTTACGTCTCTGGCCGCTATTGTTTGCGGGTTGGCGCCGAGGGAAAGTTGGAGGCGAGGAGCATACGACACGACGGGAGTGACCAGGCCAACCCTAACCCTATCCTAGCAGCTCCGGAGCCGGTGTCTTCACCCCCTCGTCTTCCTCCAACAGTCACGCATCGGCCGCTGGCTCAAACAACAGTAACGCATCATCGGGCCAATCCCGTAAGCCTTCATACCTGATGGCATCATACGTAGCCCAGCCTGCAACCGAAGATGGCTCGCCGTACGGACGGCTTGTTGGTCAGCCACGAGGCGAAGCCGACCGCGTCGAGTTCTACACGGCCCGTGCTCAACAAACCGTGGACAAGCTTGGCCGGCGGATCTCGAAAGCCCGATAGTGACGGCCGCAACCTTTTCACGACACTTTTTGACGAATGAAAATCACGGCGTCCATACGATGGGATGCTGTTTCGGAAGCGGCATGATAAAAAATGTGGACTGAGCATCATTTTTGGGTAATTATTTGCAACATCAAGGACTTTTAGGGCGACATATTCCCGGCGGGGAGTTAGTTTGGTTCCTGACACAAGCGGGTCGCGGGCGGATCGCAAGGGCTACCGCATGCACGGGTCGTCGGCTTTCGAGCACCGTGTGGGAGGAGAGGGTCTTTTTGGAGGTCTGGTTTTGGTTGGCCAGGTGCACGCATCGATCGGTCTGCGAGAAGAGAAGGGCTCACAGAACTTGAAGGTCACTGTAATATGATGGCAGGGAAGCGACAAAAAAATCTTTGCATTCACGTACATACTTGAATCGAAATCGGAGTTGGAGCAGATGGTTGGTGTTCGAGTTGCTTCGTGATCCAATGTAAGGTGACAAAGATCGACGGCAAGGTTGGTGTCTCGCATGTCAGGGTGCCAGGGTGGAGGATACCCTTGCCAATACAGAATCCCAAGATCCCCGCCCACTCCTCCCCGCCACCCAGCCCTAGCAGCCCGCCAGCCCACCACCCAAGGCACCAGGGCACCAACAAGCGAGCCTGACACTGCCAGACGAATGTATGTACAAGACAAGCCTCAACAGATTCGCCACTCCTCCAAAGGAATGTTAATTTCCGCCTTGCGATGGTTGCACCTGTTCTGAGACGCTACTAATGCAAGGCAAACAAATCCCGGGGCCACGCAATCCTTTCCACCCGAGTACTTAGCTGACCGCCGCTTGTCAATGTCTCAGGTGCCGGACGAGACTCAACATCCCCGAAGCACGCCGAGGGCTGCGCACTTCGCTGATCCAGTCTGACGGAGGGGACGACCAAACTTACGCGGGATCCTTTGCGGCGTTTCATGCACCGTTTGCAGACTATTCTGTCAGGAGTTGACGTCATTTTCTGGCGCGGGCGTCGACCGTCGACCGTTTCGGGACGGTGTTGATCTGATTCAGAGAACGGACACGTGCGGAGGGCGGTTCCGCCAATGGGATGTGCGAAGTCCTTCGTACCTTCGTCCCTGCTGGACTCACGAACGAAGCATCCCACACCGCTCGCCCCCCACATCATTATACGGAAGTAGGCTAAAGAAGTCTCGGGAATCACCAAAAGCCGGCCATGTCAAATTTCCGCGACTCTCCACTGCACTGGCAAGACTGGGTCATGCACACTAACGCCGCCAGAGCCCGGGTGTGCATCGGCGCAACTAACCGAAAAGGCGAAACGCCGAAGCTCCGGGTGGCGATGCACACCTGACGGCGCCCATGAACACCGCGGGGCTGAGAGCAGATACATAGTTATTTTGTTTGGATTGAGGACCCTGGTCGTCAACCACGGGCTCGAAAGATTGCGGCTCAAGGGGCTGTCATGCGACTCGTCAGCACACCCGCTTCTCACCGAAAGTCACCTGATATGCACGTGACAGAAACGTTGATTGGTCAGGCTTCGGGCCTTTTAAGTTAGGCTCAGCTTGCCCGGGTCCCTGTAGGTGGAACCTGGAACCCCGCGGTCCCGTGTGTGGCAAATACTCGGGGTGTCTCCGACGGAGACTCTCCGTCACATTCATGACTCACAAGGCTGTCAGCTCGCTACTGTCGACCAACTCATCAATTGCTAAGCAGCCAGCTCCGGTTAGGTATGACTAACCATTTAAGGTTACCGGCTTACACCAGTCGAGGTACCATGCTTTCTAATATCCCTTTAGGGAAATGCGGCTGCAACTGCGCGTCACACTCACGATGGCCCGAAAGGCCGCATCATGCAGGGTGCTCCCAACCACAGGCTTTGAAAGGGACGTTACAGAATGGGGTTGCCCATTCGTCGTGGCAGGATGAATTCCAAATAAATATGAGGTACAGACATACGTATGTCTTTGCATTCGTTTTCGCTCCAAATCCTTGCCAGCCACCCAACGGTGTGTCGACAGTCGACCTATATTTTCGCCACGCAAAGAACGCGGCAGAACATTCACATCGACACGGGGGCCGATTCGGAACCCCCGACTGATGGCGCGTCAGCCTGGCCCTTCATGCTCCTCGACTTCCTGTAAACAGTTGGGCTCCAGAAGCACGGTACAGGAAGAAACAGGGGAGCAACCACCAGCATAGGAACCGGGTCGCTTCTAATTCCTTCGGTATGGGCATGTCTAACAACATCTAACCCCTGTACCCAGCATCTCCAACTCCCTTCACACCAACGCGTTCTTATAAAACAAGTTCGACCTCCGATCGCCCGCCTTGCCCGACGCAAACCCCAAAAACAACCGCACCTCGCCCGCCGCCGTCTGGTAGATCGCCATGCCCTCCGGCTCGCGGAACGAGAGCGTCGACCCGGCACGAGTAATCACCGGTCCCTGAACAACTTTCCCCGTATTCATATCCACGCTCGCCACCTGCGAGTTGAGCTCCTTGCTAACATCGTACGAGTCCCCCCACAGCAGGTACAGATACTGCCCATATGCCGTGTACCCCTGGAAGTTCTTCCCCTTGGTCTTAGGCAACGGCTGCTTAAAGTCCACCAGCGGCGCCGAGAAATCGCCCTTGGTCGCCTTAGCCAGGTCAAACACCGCGATGCGCTTGCCGCCCGAGGTGTGGTAGCGCACCACCAGCCGGTTGTTGACCGTGTCCACCGCGCAGGTGTGCTCCGTCCCAGCCTTCACGGGCGTGAACTTCTTCAGGCTGCTGGAGGACTTGGTGAGGGTGGCGCCGCTGACGAACTTGAAGCGGGCCAGGCGCGCGCCGTACCCGTTGCTGTTGGCGTCGACCTCGGTCCAGAGGTAGGTGGCCGACCCGTCACCCTGCGCGCCGAACGACACGCCGTGCCCGAAGCCCTTGAGGTGCATCTGGCCGAGTTTCTTCCCGCTGAAGTCGAGCTGCGTGATGCAGAGGTCGCCCGAGGCGGCGCTGGCGCCGTTGAGGCGCTGCGAGACGAACAGCCGCCGGTTCTTGTTGTCGAAGGCGAAGCCTTGCTGGACCGTGTCGTCGTGCAGCGGCTTGCTGCGGAAGAGGTCGTACGACGGCTTGGTAAGGTCGAAGCGCTTGGAGGAGGGCACCGCGGCAGAGACGACGGAGGCTGCCGCCGCCAGGAGCGTGGCGAAACTGAGGAGACGCATTGTGAGTGGCGAGTGCCTGTTGCGGGACTGGTAAAGACAGACTGGGGAAAGAGAGTGGTGGTGATCTAGTGTTGTTCGAGTTGGTGGAGATTCGAGGTTGATGTATAGACCTGGGAAATTGGACCCGTACAATTTTAGAATCGGCTTATACCGGATGCGGGACCGGCGCCCTGTGGACGGTGTAAGCCTCCCTCATTGTTACGCCGGGCCGGCCCAACATCCCAGGGGTCTGCAGCCCGTTTTGGTAGTTGATTTACCTTGCTTGGCTTCGCTTGGCTTTTTTGAGTGGGGATCGAACCTCCATGCCGAGGTCCGCTTAATCGACTTCGTAAGAGGAAATAGCTTCATGGAATGGTGTTGTTGATTTCCAGATGAGGCAATTGGTGGCATGCCCAGGGGAAAGCGGCGAGGTTGCGGTTGGCGAGATGACCAGTGTTATTTCAATGACAAACGGTTTGTCAGCCCAACACCATGATTTCAGTCTCGCCCAGCTCGCCCAGGCTAGGTGGGAAGAGCTTAGTACATACCAAGCTGGCTGGCACCGGTTCGTTGGCTTGGTCGAGATTCCTAGTAAGATAATCACCATTGCCTTGGCGCTGGCTGGTACTTGGCGTTCGTTACTCCTTGCTCTTTTTCTTTTCCTCTTCCTTCGCGGTAGTATCCGAATAAAGCTTTTGCTTGTTCCGTCGAAGGGCGCCGCACCATTTAGTCTCGTTGTCTTCCGGTCCGTCGGTCGAAGCCTTTAGGACAGACCCAGGGGTAGCTGTTGTACTAGTGCCCTACCACCAATCTGAACTATTCTGCCGCGGACGTAAGAGAGAAACTTACCTAGGTGGAAGGTGGAAGCTGTGCCGGGTCTTTAACTGCAGAAGACGGGCTCCTCAGAGCCGTCAAAGAGTATCCATTGCCCAGAACTATGTCACTGCAAGGTCGGAGGTGGAGTGTTATAAGTACGTCGATACCGAGAACGCTAGCTTAGTAGGTACCATGGGAAGAGAATGAACCAACCATACTGAGAGGGTTTCCACGCCGTCATCACACCGCATTATGATATATACCAAGTCTAGGATGGCCATGCCGCGTGTGCCGGCAATCTCCAACGCGTCGGGTTAGTTGCTCGGCCATCACCAGGAGCACGAATCTATCTATACTCCTCATGCGTGGCAAAGGATGCCAAAACATACTATAGATGACGACTATTCTACGCAACTAGGGAAGGGAGGTAGGACTGGCCCCGTGGACCTCCTACTGAAAATGCAGCTGTCGTGGGAACACCGGGCTCACCGGCACAGACCCCTCTGACGATCGGTAATCACATGTCCCCGGCTTCCTCGCCATGTCATCCAGGTGACCACTGAGGAATCCGTCGCTGATACGAATGACGGTCTAATTCCATAGCGTTCATAACCCCCTGAAGCATACCACCTACCTTCACTTAATATACCCACAAATCAGGTGGCAGACCGTGCTCCCTTCATAGACAAATAAAGTTACTGTATCAACCCCCGCCCAGAACCTCCGAGGAGATGCACGCGGAGACAAGCTCGAGCCAACAGGCCTCAATCTTATAGCAGGGGGGACACTGCCGGGGTAGTAGCCAATAACCGGCAGGAGGGATTGAATGAGGGGATCCAGAATACCAGCAACCGGGTGTATACACGAGCGCCAATCCCGATGGATCTCGGACGTTGGCGGGAGCGTGCCGTAACATCATGGCCCCCGCGCTAAGTTGGTTGTGTTACACAGCATTCCGGGAATTCTATGTCGGACTGACCGCGTAAATGGGTCATGGGTTGGCTTATGTTGTGTCTACCCATATGTTCACGGATAATGAGCGGGCAAGATGGCATAAAAGTGGCCGGTCTACTCAAGTCACCGTAATAACTACGCCTTACCCCTTCAACTCCCCCAACCCCCATCACAGCCAACACTGCCATAGGTAGCCGATACAGGCAGCCATCACAACACAACATCACCAACCACCACCAACCACCACCACCACCACAATGCACCTCCTCGACCCCCTCACCCTCCTCCTCACCCTCCCCCCCCCAACCCACGCCCTAAAGATCGCCTGCGTCCAACAATGGATCGAACACACCCCCCTCCCCCACGCCGCCAGCACCTTCTACACCCCGCAAAACCCCTCCGACCCCCCCATCACCATCGTCACCGGCGGCGTCGCCAACCTCGCCACCGACCGCAGCATCGACCTCGCGGCCAACGCCGAAACCCAAGGACTCAAAAACTACAACCAACACCGCAACCACCGCCTGATCGGCATCCTCGTCGAAGTCACCTACCGGCTGGTCGCGCGCCGCGCCTCGGGCATCACCACGCTGACCGACCTGCGCGGCAAGCGCATCGGCACGATCCCCGGGACGTCGGCCGAGGTGTTTGTGCGGCAGCTGATGGGCAGCGCGGGGTTGCAGGCCGGGAGGGATTACACCACCGTGGCGGGCGGGCTGTCGACGTGTATGCGGGCGCCGTGCGGGCGGGGCAGTTTCCCGGCGGAGTTGGTGGCGGGGCGGATTGATGCGTTTGGGGTGTGGGAGACGGCGGTGGAGTTGGGGGTGCAGGCGTTGATGCATGAGGAGGGGGGGCAGGGGGCGGTGACGTTTAAGAATGCGAGTGTGTATAGGGAGGTGTATAGTTTGTATTCGACGGAGGAGAAGTTGAGGAATCCGGTGGTGAGGGGAAGGATTGTGAGGTTTGTGAGGGCGTTGAATCAGAGTTTTGGGGTGTTTAGGGAGGGGGGGCAGGAGGTGGTGGACTATGTGGGGAAGAAGGTGGGTGTGGACGAGCCGGTGTTGAGGAATGTGTGGGAGGATCATGTCTGGGGGCCGGGGAATTTGGGGACAGGTTTGCTGGATTACTTGGAGCAGGAGGACCAGTACCTTGCCAAGGTGGACAACCGGAAGGCGTTGACGAGGGCGGAGCTGGAGAAGTTTGTGGATACGAGTGTGTATGAGGAGGCCATGCGGGGGTAGTCTCTGGTTCTGTTCTTCGTAAGACGAATCTGAGCACGCGAGAGTTCCTTTTTCGTTCGCAATCCTACGCTACTATTGTATGCTAAGGGGGCTTGAACTGGCGAATTGGAAAAAAGAACCCACGGACGGACAACTTATATGTTACCGTATGGCAGTTACTCGCCGTCTGACCGTAGTAGATGGGGTGTTTTCGGCTGCCAACATTGAATACGCTGCAGACGTTATTGGGAGGGGCACTCGCGGAAGTGTCCTACAAATTCCCGGGATAACATTCCTCGAATCATAGACCTGCGTGTTACATTGCATGTGCTGTGGTTGGTAGGGTTGGCTCGAGGTTGGGTACCATATTTCCTGGCATTATTGTAACCCGGCATTGCCCATTGGTGCAGCAAGTGCGGGGATTGCGGCAGAAGACGAGCATCTTGGGAGGAGCCGAAAAAAGAACAAACAGGGGAAGAGCGCAATCCCACATTTCCATAGCCCGACGGTCAAAGGGACACAAGACCGGTTGTGCCCGTCCCGCGCATACGATGACATCCCTTCCCAATTCCTTCGACAGCCGGAATGACCTCCAACCCGCCCAGGAAGGACCACAGCCCCCCCAAAACTCGAACCCGTCCAGACAAGACGAGGCAGACATCACCGGCATCTCTCCCAGCCTCTCTATTGACGAGAGCAAAGGTGTATACTGCAGCTACAAGGGGTACAATCGCTTTGACCCCGTAAACAAGGCTTTCATCAAGTTCGACCCTGCCAGTCCAACCCCTTCCGCCGTCGTTGCTGGAATAGCCCAGGCAGATCTTGTACGCGGTCGAAATCTTCGGCTAAGGCTCAAGTCCGAAGCGTTTGAGAAACGATGGGTTCACTGCCGTAACGGAGACCTGGGGGGATGGCGAGTCGCAGCTGGTCTCTGGGGGAGTCATGTGGCTCACGCTCGGAACGCCAGAGACGGCAGGGTTCCAGACCGGGGTGGTCGACAGCAGCACTGAGCACTCGCCACGAGAGTGCTTACCGGCCTTGACGGAAATGGAGGTGAAGTTCCCGACTGCCTTTTCGGCAGCTCCCGAGGTTGTCCTCTGGATCAGGGGTTTCCAATCGGCCAGTCCCCGGGTGGCGGTGGGGGTTGGGGCTTGCATGTCGCGGCTGGGAGGATTAGTGAGGACGGCTTCTGCCTGTTCATCGCAAAGGAAGATGGTTCCAAGCTCTACCGAGCCATCGTCACCTGGGTCGCTTTCCCAAAAACTATGACGGATGTTTTTCACGGCATTGAGAGGGGTACCAAAGATGATATCCGCCTGTGGGAGACCGAAGATGATCAAAGAAACGGCTTCACGCGCCTCGTCAACCTCCGAGACCAGAGAGAAAAGCAGGGATGTACAGCGTCGGAGTTTAGAGTGTACTTGGGGATCACATCATTCTACTTCAAGGGTGATGCTAATCTCAAATTTCAAGTCGAGGCGGAAAGGCTTGATGTGGAAGACGAGGAGAGTCGGCGGAATAGGTTTCACGTACATGTGGGAACGTGGCACAACAGTCAGATGCTCAGAGCGAGCACCTCTTGGCTGGCGGTTTACCGCCAGTAAAGCCGCAGGGGCTTGTACTACATGCATCAAGCTTGGTACTAGGCTACCTCCTCACTCATAGTGGGACAGCCCGTTCTTGCGTAAGAAGCTTTCCAAGAGATCAGCAGCTTTGTCGTTGTGCATATCCGCGAAGGCAATGTGCGTGGTCCCCTTCCAACCCAGATCCTCTCCCAACTTGATGACCTGGGCGTTGCCGCCATACTTGTTGATCAGCGCCGCCGCCTGCCTCGACTGGTTGAGGAATGAGTAGCTCTCGTCCCGGTGATCTCCCCACAAGAACTGAATAGCTGGTATTCTTGCCAGCTTCTTGAAATCCTCAAGCGGGACCACATACGGGCCGAAGGGGTTCAGCCCGGGCCCCGGCTCGATGCCAGCATTGTCGGGGAAGATGTACCCATAGCCCTCATAGCACACAATACCCTTGATATTCGTCGTGTTGCTCTTGACAGCCGTCATCTGAGCGCGCAGCCCACTGGCCGAGTTCCCCAAGTAAACAATACTCTTTCCGAGCTTGCCGGAATCCGCCGCAATCGCCGCCGCATCCGTCTCGAGATGGACGTTCGCCGCCGTGTCGTACTCGACATACCGCGAGCTGGTAGCCTGCTGCCAGGCGTACTCGTTCTCGGTCGGGAACTGCACGTCGGGCCACCACTCCGGGTAGCGGGGGCCAAAGTTCCACGCGGCAAAGTTGCCCTGGTCGCGGTAGTCGGGGGCGTAGTAGGTGGCGTTGCAGGCCCAGTTGGCGCGGCCGACACGGGGTCCGTCCCACAGGAAGACGGGGTAGTCGCGGCGCAGGAACTTGTCCTTGAAGCCCTCGCCGCCGTCCCAGCGGTTCTGGAAGCTCTGCGTGCTGGAGCTGTGCCACATGACGATGCTCGTCTTGCGCGGCCGCCACGGCGTGAAGTACTCCATGTAGCCGTGGTCGCACGAGAGCGTCATGTTGGGGTTCAGCGGGTTCGGGATGATCTTGCCGCCGATGGTGAAGCCGCCGGACTGCCGGAGCATGATGGGCTTGTCTGGTCCCCGGTGTCCGGCATCTTCGGTATTGGCCTGGCTTGTTAGGGTTGCAAGGACGAGTCCTACCAGGTGGCGCGAATTGATATTTCCCAACATGGTCTCGGACTCTGTCGTGTGGCAAGCGTTTTGGCGTCAATTGGTATGGGGATACAGCGAATGATCAGAACGACTGCCGGGACGACTTGGCACCACAATCTTCGCAGCCAGTCCGGAAGGGACTTTATATCAACTGCCAGTCATGCTCGTCCCGTTTTATGTAACGCCAGCCACCGTGGTCCGGTGAGACCAGACATTTGCCGGCCCGCCTAAAGCATGGGATAGGTGAAGCCGAGAGTTGGCGGGCGGGATGTGAGGTACGCGGGGAACTTGTTAAATTTAGTGGCTTACTCTTGTGTCACGGCATATGCAGGCAATCTCTTAAGGAAAGGGGAAGTGGTAGTACCGTAGTTGTTCAAATGCGGGGAATGCTAACGTACTGGCATTATTGGTTCCTAGTCTAGCACTATGAATGAAGTATTAGGTTGTTGATATGAATAATCTCCGCTTAAGTCGGGTACCTGACTCGCAGCCGGGATGACAACCCCTCTCCCGCTTGACTTCGCATCCCAATTTTGTGCTACAGGATCCGCTGCCCCCCCGTGCCCCTGTTGGTGGTGAATGTAGAATACCATGTTGGAGCTGTGGGCGGATAATAGACCTGCGCCATCGAGCAATGTTTGGTAAGGCGGGTAAATGGGCGAGGGTGTCACCATGCGTGAGATCGCGTCTAGCAGCAAGAGCGCGGATTTAAACGTAAATCTATTCATAGCGTTCCCCAGGGGATCACCGTCGTGTCAACATGTTTGTTGTTGGCCGAGAAAAAGAACCTACCGGTAGGCAATTGTTTGATATTGAGCTGGCAGACACTGTGGACTAAGATTCGAGAGATAGTGTATGTAGATCCGGGGATGGTCAACCATGCCCAAGACAGCCGAGTCGAAGGGGCTAATCCATCAGCAGATGATACCAACCATGGGGACAATGCCTCCGACTGGTATCCCCACTTGAAACTAAGCACTCAGGAAACTCGTCAGTAACTTGTTTGGTGAATCGAAGATCACCCTGTAACCCGATGGATGATCTTGTCCTCTTTCATTTTGAGAGCCGAGGTAGCTACATAGAGTATGGATATAAACCCCAGTTCTGCTGTATCCTGCATCTCAGATCACCGCCTACTTCTCGACAGATTGGAGTCTGGGCTTCCTTCAGCCAGCCTCATCTACTTAGTCTGTCAATCAGAGGGGCCCAGTCCGTAGCCGCCCAGCACCCAAAGCAGACCATCATCCCACCGCGAGTAGGATACTTGCCTCTGTACCTCCCGACTTCCTCTCGTCGGTTTTGCCGGTCACGGTACCGCCGCAGGGACATTGAAAGCGGGCTTCGAACCACAAGGCATCACCACACGCGAAAATGGATTTATCGTACAGGTGGTGGAGGGAATCAAGAAGGCTCCCATGGCGGTGCTTGACCCGATGCACAAACAAATACTCACCCGTTCGACGGGTTGATCCACCGAAGTCTCGACCACGCCGTGTTTCTCGGTTCGTCGTCGTTTCTCTCGCCCGGAGGCTCACTGGTACTAACCCTGTCCACTAGCGACTTCCATCCGCCCCGTTGACTGCCCGCACCATTCCTACCCCCGGTCTTATGCGGTGGGCGACTGAAACCGCGTTCGTCAACAAAAAGAAACCCACCTCGCACCCAAAAAAAAAAAAAAAAAGGGCGTTGCGGTTCGATTACATCAAAGGACGACGCCGCTCGTGGATATCGTGGTATCGGGGTGGCAACAAGTACCGGGTTCGAGCTAGAGTAGGTGCAGTACATCGGCGACCGGCTGCTAGACATGCTGCACATCCGACGGCTTCCGGGCCCGCAAGCAAGGGGCT